TTCAAATTGAAATGATTGGGAATTATCAACATGCAAACATACCTATTCTGTTTGCTGCCGTACTTCTACTCTCCATTTGTGACTTTCTTTCTCTCTTGTTTCATGCAACCGTGAGCCAACTGAAGCTAACATAATTTAGTCGCTTTTAGCTAATTATCGATCTATTTTCAAATGTACGCGTGTTTTACTAGACAGATTAGCAGGGCTTGAAAATATTATTTCCTGCCAGGAGGATTTGTAGAAACCACCTGGTCGTTTCTATGGTAGGAGTGCAGTGAGTAATGGCGAATTCAGACGAGAAGGCGCCATGTCCAAAGTGCTCTCCACAGTCATGGTGTGGCTTTCAAAATTCAACTTACAGATCTGACTTCCGACCCCTAGAGTGCTGCCGACCAGAGCCGTGCCATCTAATAAACAACCTTAAAATTCCGGATGGGGATATTTCCTGTAGATCCGGCTATCGCGAAGACTACAGAGGTGCTGATTCCTGCAGGCCAAATCTTATAATTCGACCCGACAATCTGACAACTTTAGAAGGCCCAATAAGCTGCAATTCGCAATATAGAACGGATTTTAAGTGCCACGACTCTGAAAGACCTGCTCCCATCAAGCTACCAGATAACCTGGTAGTTCCGCAAGATTCATTCACTTGCAATACGCTATATCGGACTGATTTTAGGGGACACGATGGCGAAAGACCCAGTCCAATCAAATGTTTAGACAATATCTCTCTTCCAGATGCTCCTTTTAGTTGCAACACAAATTACAGAACCGATTTTCGAGGACAGGAGTGTGAGCGACCTGATATCATACGAATTTCTGATAACCTAACAATATCTGATGGTCCATCTAGCTGTAATACGCAATATAGGGTTGACTTCAGGGGACATGAATGTGAAAGACAAGGATTAATAAAGCTCCCAGATAATTTGACCCTGCCTCAAGGACCTTTTGGATGCAACACACTTTATCGGAACGATTTTAGGCATCAAGACTGTATAAGGCCGAACCCCATTAAAATTCCAGACAATTTAAAGGTTGCTGAAGGAGCGATGAGTTGCAATACACACTACAGAACGGATTTTAGAGGGCATGAATCAGATCGACCTGATCCGATAAAGCTTCCGGATAATCTATCCACCTCTGCTGATCCATTCAGTTGCAATACTTTGTACCGAACAGAATATAGAGGACATGAATCTGACCGACCAGATCCAATAAGGCTCCCTGATAATTTAAGTGTTGCAGAGGGACCAATGACTTGCAATACTCTCTACAGAACGGATTTTCGAGGACATGATTCTGAGAGACCGGATCCGATAAGGCTTCCAGATA